AGCGTTTGTCTTATGCTGGATAACTTCTTTCCTGTGGCCGGGCATGGCAGTTTAGGGGCAATTGTCAAAAGCACTAGTAATATCAGTACCCCCCGCAAAACAGTTGCCCCTCACTTACCGCTACCCCCACTCCCCTTTCTCGGACAGCTCCCAACTCACCCTTCACTCACCGCCGGTCGTCTTACTACACTCCTTCCCCGTTCGCCAGTACAGTCCACGACCCGCTACCCCCATCCTCTCCTCCCCCCCCCTTCCCCATCCCCGCCGGTTATCCCACCACACCTCTTCCTCCACGATAGTTCCTGAGGGGAGGGGGAGAGGAGGGCGACAGGGAGTATTGAGCAGACTATCATATAGTAAAACAACTACTACCTAACCTTGGGGGTGGGGGCAAAAGGCCCCTCGCCCTTCCCCCCTGGATCCTCCAATGTGTTCATAAATAAAACTAAAGTAACTCTAAGTAGCAGTGTTACAACTCTATTCCTAGTTTTTGAGCAGTTCCAGGGTGGGAGGGGACGCTGGATCCGCCTATGAACAGGGGCGCTTAAACAGCGGTAACTGCTAAACTTGAATGTAATTTGCCCTGGGCTGAAAGGCTGGGTGCTCTGCTGTAATTATATTTTGGCAACGAAAGTAGATGTATCTGACCAACATTATAGCGTAACAATAACACTGATATTCTTTTTTTTTTTTTTTTAAAGACGGCCATTTCTGCACCTGTTGCTGGCAGCAGAAAGCAGCACAGCATCGCTTTACTGTGTATAACGAGCCAAATAAATAACTGTGGTGCTCAGAAACAGCTGTTCTGGAGCAAAGGTTGATTTTGTTTTGTGATAAATATCCTATATATATGTCTAGTACACCCAGGAAGTAGTGAATCAGTATATTTTATCTATGCTATGAAATTACGGTGCTAGGTAGGTATCGTGAATTATGAAAGAATTCTGTTTTCCTTTTCCTGCAAATATCGCATCCAGATTTGTGCTTGTTAATTCTGTTTATCAGATACTCCTCTCGTGCAGTTATTCTTTCGCCAAACTGTAGGAAGTAGATGGGACAAAAAATTCAGTTAATCAATACGTTATTAGTTCCAGGGAGGAGATGTTAAGCTCCGTTCGGTGCCTACAGCAATGTCTAGCCGTGCAGATGGAGCGGAAAAGGACCACGACTGATGTGAGGTACACTGAAACTGGTCGAAAGCGGAATCATCAGTGGGTTTGCCAGTTTCAGC